CCAGGTCTCTTCCCCTCATCACTATACTCCCCCCAGAGGACAGCCTGGACTCTGCTCTCATCACTATACTCCACAGAGACCAGCAAGGACTCTGCCCCCATCACTATACTCCCCCGGAGGCCAGCCAGAACTCTCTCCTCATCAGCATACTCCCCGGAAGGCAGCCAGGACTCTCTCCTCATCACCATACTTCCCGGAAGCCAGCTAGGCCTCTCCCCTCATCATTATCCTCCCCGGAGGTCAGTCACGTCTCTCTCCTCATCACTATTCTCCCCGGAGGCCAGCCAGGTCTCTCCCCTCATCACAATCCTCCCCGGAGGCCAGCCACGTCTCTCCCCTCATCACTATACTCCCGGAGGCCAGTCAGGTCTCTCCCCTCATCACTATTCTCGCCGGTGGCCAGTCAGGTCTCTCCCTTCATCACTATTCTTCCCGGAGGCCAGCCAGGTCTCTCCCCTCATCACTATACTCCCCGGAGGCCAGCCAGGACTCTCCCCTCATCACTATACTCCCCGGAGGCCAGCCAGGTCTCTCCCGTCATCATTCTACTCCCCGGAGGCCAGTCTCTCCCCCTCATCACTCTTCTCCCCGGAGGCCAGCCAGGACTCTCCCCTCACCACTATACTCCCCGGAGGCCAGCCAGGACTCTCCCCTCACCACTATACTCCCAGACTCATAATGCCACAGTGGCAGAGGGCGGGTGCTCCGGCACTCTTTATACAAGAACTCTTGAGTTTTCTTTCATGTTCTTGCCGCTTGTTTACATTCCTTTAGGACTCGTTTATGTTCTTATGGGAACTGGTAAGAATACTGAACAAGAACACTTTAATGTCTATATAACATGGGAAACATAGCTCAGGGGAAAGACGACCCAAGACTTGATGGACTACACCACCCAGAAGTGTAAGGAGGCAGCATACAAGTTCGTCCCAGTCCAAAGGAAAAAAAATAAATGTAGATGAGAAACCCATGGTTTACTCCGAGATGTAGGCTAGCAAGGCATTGAAGAAGTGCCGGCACAGGGGCGTGGAGAAACTATAGAAATAACAGGACTATTGAGAGCAGAGAAAGATACCCGAGTGCCAGGAATGAATATGTCGGGTTGAGAAGAGAGGCAGAAAGACAATACGAAAATGAAATTGCAAGCAAGGAGAAAAAACAACCTAAATTACTTCACAGCCACATTAGGAGAAAAACAACAGTAAAGGAAAAGGTAATGAAGTTGAGAATAGGGGCAGACAAATTCATTACAATCGACAAGGAAGTGTGTGGGGAACTGAATAAGAAATTCCAGGAAGTCTTCACATTAGATCAAGGAGAAGTTCCAGAGATGAGAGAGGGAATAGTTAACCAGACACCACTAGAAGAGTTTGTGATTACCAATGGGGATGTAAGGAAGCTTTTGCTAGTCTCCCAAATGTGACAAAGGCTATTGGCCCAGATGGAATATCTCCATGGATACTAAAGGAAGGAGCAAAAGCACTAAGCCTTCCACTCTCCATGGTGTATAACAAATCACTGATAACAGGTGAACTGCCAAACATTTGGAAAACGGCGAATGTAGTCCCGATATACAAGAAAGTGGATAGACAGGAGGCTCTGAACTACAGGCCAGTGCCCCTAACCTGCATACCATGCAAGTTGATGAAGAAAATTGTGCGAAAAAAGCTAGTGGAACATCTGGAGCGAAGGAACTTTGTAACATAACACCAACATGGTTTCAGGGATGGCAAGTCCTGCCTCACAGGATTAATTGAATTCTACGATCAGGCAAGAAAGAGAGGGGCGGGCAGACTGCATATTTTTGGATTACCAGAAAGCCTTTCATACAGTACCACACAAGAGGCTAATGAAAAAGCTGGAGATACAGGCAGGAGGGAAAGGGAAGGTACTCCATTGGATAAAGGAGTACCTAAGTAACAGAAGACAGCGAGTCACTGTGACGGGTGAGGTCTCAGATGGCGAGACAGCACCAGTGGAGTCCCGCAGGGATCAGTCCTTGGTCCTACACTGTTTCTGATATATGTAAATGATCTCCCAGAAGGTATAGAATCTTTCCTGTGATTGTTTGCTGATGATGCAAAAATTATGAGGATGATTAAGATGGAGGAAGACAGTATGAGACTACAAGATGACCTAGACAGACTGCATGAATGGTCCAACAAATGGCTACTAAAGTTCAACCCGAGTAAATGTAAGGTAATGAAACTAGGCGGTGGAAACAGGAGCGCAGACACAGGATACCGAATGGGAGATGAAGTCCTTCATGAAACGGACAGAGAGAAAGATCTAGGAGTTGATATCACACCAAACTTATCTCATGAAGCCCACATAAAAGGAATAACATCGGCGGGGTATGCGAGGCTGGCTAACATCAGAACAGCCTTCAGGAACCTGTGTAAGGAATCATTCAGAATCTATACCACATATGTAAGACCAATCCTGGAGTATGCGGCCCCAGCATGGAGCCCGTACCTGGTCAAGCACAAGACGAAGCTCGAAAAAGTTCAGAGGTATGCCACTAGGCTAGTCACAGAACTAAGAGGCATGAGTTATGAGGACAGGCTGCGTGAGAAACACCTCACAACACTGGAAAACAGAAGAGTAAGGGGAGACATGATCACTACCTACGAAATTCTCAGAGGAATTGACAGGGTAGACAAGGATAAACTATTCAACACTGGTGGGACGCGAACAAGGGGACACAGGTGGAAACTGAGTACTTAAATGAGCCACAGGGACGTCAGAAAGAACTTTTTCAGTGTCAGAGTAGTTAACAGATGGAAAGCATTAGGCAGTGATGTGGTGGAGGCTGACTCCATACACAGTTTCAAATGTAGATATGATAGAGCCCAGTAGGCTCAGGAATCTGTACACCTGTTGATTGACAGTTGAGAGGCGGGACCAAAGAGCCAGAGCTCAACCCCCCGCAAGCACAACTAGGTGAGCACGTGTTCTTGTTCTGACCTTTTTATCATATAGTGTCGGGGGTTATATGGACCAACAGTTGTATAAACAGAACCAACAGTTGTATAAACAGGACCAACAGTTGTATAAACAGAACCAACAGTTGTATAAACAGAACCAACAGTTGTATAAACAGGACCAACAGTTGTATAAACAGGACCAACAGCTGTATAAACAGGACCAACAGTTGTATAAACAGAACCAACAGTTGTATAAACAGGACCAACAGCTGTATAAACAGGACCAACAGTTGTATAAACAGGACCAACAGTTGTATAAACAGAACCAACAGTTGTATAAACAGAACCAACAGCTGTATAAACAGGACCAACAGTTGTATAAACAGAACCAACAGTTGTATAAACAGAACCAACAGTTGTATAAACAGAACCAACAGTTGTATAAACAGAACCAACAGCTGTATAAACAGGACCAACAGTTGTATAAACAGAACCAACAGTTGTATAAACAGAACCAACAGCTGTATAAACAGGACCAACAGCTGTATAAACAGAACCAACAGTTGTATAAACAGAACCAACAGTTGTATAAACAGAACCAACAGTTGTATAAACAGAACCAACAGCTGTATAAACAGGACCAACAGCTGTATAAACAGAACCAACAGTTGTATAAACAGAACCAACAGTTGTATAAACAGAACCAACAGCTGTATAAACAGGACCAACAGTTGTATAAACAGAACCAACAGTTGTATAAACAGAACCAACAGTTGTATAAACAGAACCAACAGTTGTATAAACAGGACCAACAGTTGTATAAACAGAACCAACAGTTGTATAAACAGGACCAACAGTTGTATATACAGGACCAACAGCTGTATAAACAGGACCAACAGTTGTATATACAGGACCAACAGCTGTATAAACAGGACCAACAGTTGTATAAACAGAACCAACAGCCCCTGAGTGCCGGTACTCGTGCCCCTGAGTGCCGGTACTCGTGCCCCTGAGTGCCGGTACTCGTGCCCCTGAGTGCCGGTACTGCTGCCCCTGAGTGCCGGTACTCCTGCCCCTGAGTGCCGGTACTCCTGCCCGTGAGTGCCGGTACTCCTGCCCCTGAGTGCCGGTACTCCTGCCCCTGAGTGCCGGTACTCCTGCCCGTGAGTGCCGGTACTCCTGCCCCTGAGTGCCGGTACTCCTGCCCGTGAGTGCCGGTACTCCTGCCCCTGAGTGCCGGTACTCCTGCCCCTGAGTGCTGGTACTCCTGCCCGTGAGTGCCGGTACTCCTGCCCCTGAGTGCCGGTACTCCTGCCCCCTGAGTGCCGGTACTCCTGCCCCTGAGTGCCGGTACTGCTGCCCCTGAGTGCCGGTACTCCTGCCCCTGAGTGCCGGTACTCCTGCCCGTGAGTGCCGGTACTCCTGCCCCTGAGTGCCGGTACTCCTGCCCCTGAGTGCTGGTACTCCTGCCCGTGAGTGCCGGTACTCCTGCCCCTGAGTGCCGGTACTCCTGCCCCCTGAGTGCTGGTACTCCTGCCCGTGAGTGCCGGTACTCCTGCCCCTGAGTGCCGGTACTCCTGCCCCCTGAGTGCCGGTACTCCTGCCCGTGAGTGCCGGTACTCCTGCCCCTGAGTGCCGGTACTCCTGCCCCCTGAGTGCCGGTACTCGTGCCCCTGAGTGCCGGTACTCCTGCCCCTGAGTGCCGGTACTCGTTCCCCTGAGTGCCGGTACTCCTGCCCCTGAGTGCCGGTACTCCTGCCCCTGAGTGCCGGTACTCGTGCTCCTGAGTGCCGGTACTCCTGCCCCTGAGTGCCGGTACTCGTGCCCCTGAGTGCCGGTACTCCTGCCCCTGAGTGCCGGTACTCGTGCCCCCTGAGTGCCGGTACTCGTGCCCCTGAGTGCCGGTACTCCTGCCCCTGAGTGCCGGTACTCGTGCCCCCTGAGTGCCGGTACTCGTGCTAGGGAGCGTGTACTGGAGCGTGAGAGTGCGTACGGGGAGCGTGGTTGAGAGCGTGTTCAGGGGGGGGGGGCGGCGGGCCCCACTCCGCCTCAACCTTCAAAAGACCTTTTTTCCTAAACTCTTTTGGGGATTTCTTGGAAAAGATGAAACGCGCCTCCCTCATTAACCCAAGTTGGTGTTGCCATGATGGCAGGGTTGTGTTGCCATGATGGCAGGGGTGCCAGGGTCGTGTTGCCATGATGGCAGGGGTGCCAGGGTCGTGTTGCCATGATGGCAGGGTTGTGTTGCCATGATGGCAGGGTTGTGTTGCCATGATGGCAGGGTTGTGTTGCCATGATGGCAGGGTTGCCAGGGTTGTGTTGCCATGATGGCAGGGTTGCCAGGGTTGTGTTGCCATGATGGCAGGGGTGCCAGGGTCGTGTTGCCATGATGGCAGGGTCGTGTTGCCATGATGGCAGGGGTGCCAGGGTCGTGTTGCCATGATGGCAGGGGTGCCAGGGTCGTGTTGCCATGATGGCAGGGTTATGTTGCCATGATGGCAGGGTTGCCAGGGTTGTGTTGCCATGATGGCAGGGTTGCCAGGGTTGTGTTGCCATGATGGCAGGGGTGCCAGGGTCGTGTTGCCATGATGGCAGGGTTGTGTTGCCATGATGGCAGGGGTGCCAGGGTTGTGTTCCCATGATGGCAGGGGTGCCAGGGTCGTGTTGCCATGATGGCAGGGTCGTGTTGCCATGATGGCAGGAGTGCCAGGGTTGTGTTGCCATGATGGCAGGGGTGCCAGGGTTGTGTTGCCATGATGGTAGGGGTGCCAGGGTCGTGTTGCCATGATGGCAGGGTCGTGTTGCCATGATGGCAGGGTTGCCAGGGTCGTGTTGCCATGATGGCAGGGGTGCCAGGGTTGTGTTGCCATGATGGCAGGGTTGTGTTGCCATGATGGCAGGGTTGCCAGGGTTGTGTTGCCATGATGGCAGGGTTGCCAGGGTTGTGTTGCCATGATGGCAGGGGTGCCAGGGTCGTGTTGCCATGATGGCAGGGTTGTGTTGCCATGATGGCAGGGGTGCCAGGGTTGTGTTGCCATGATGGCAGGGGTGCCAGGGTCGTGTTGCCATGATGGCAGGGTCGTGTTGCCATGATGGCAGGGTTGCCAGGGTCGTGTTGCCATGATGGCAGGGGTGCCAGGGTTGTGTTGCCATGATGGCAGGGTTGTGTTGCCATGATGGCAGGGTTGCCAGGGTTGTGTTGCCATGATGGCAGGGTTGTGTTGCCATGACGGCAGGGTACCAGGGTTGTGTTGCCATGATGGCAGGGTTGCCAGGGTTGTGTTGCCATGACGGCAGGGTACCAGGGTTGTGTTGCCTTGTTCAGGGAATAATGGCAGGATAAAGTACCTTAACTTTACTGTGGAACTTTAACTTTACTGTGGAACTTTAACTTTACTGTGGAACTTTAACTTTACTGTGGAACTTTAACTTTACTGTGGAACTTTAACTTTACTGTGGTACTTTAACTTTACTCTGGTTCTTTAACGCGGCTCTCCTCAAAATCCATAACATTTGTCAGATCAATACTGAGGTGTGCAGCACCGGCCTGGAATACTTCCCCTGTGAAACTTATAGGTAATACGTATAGGCTACAACCGTTCACACCGAGGTCAGTGTCAGGGCTGAGCCACGAAGATGGGCTAATGGGATTAAATACCACAACCCTAGAACATAGATAAAACCGTAGTGATATGACCACAACATGGAAGATACTAAGGGGAGCAGACAAGCTGAGCAAGCGAGCAGGAAACTGGGAACATCAGCAGAAGATCAGTAAAAACTGGAAGTGCAAAATACAAAGATAATTACACGGCATGAGGTAGAATGAGGGGAGCAGGCGGGATCAAGGAGCTAGAGCTCACCCCGCCGTAGTGAGTGAGAGGTGAGTACAGGCGCCGGTTGACCACTCACACACCCATACGTGCTGCTGACACTAAGAGGGATTATGGGTCGTTATTCCCCAGCCGGGCCTCCCTTAGTTCTTGTGAGCAGTGACGGTGTTGACACACGCCTGCGCCGGCCCGCTGCCCTATACACTTCACCTACCCGTCCCTCCCTCCCACCCTACCAACCCTTCACCTACCCCTCCCTCCCTCCCTCCCTACCAACCCATCACCTACCCCTCCCTCCCTCCCTCCCTACCAACCCTTCACCTACCCCTCCCTCCCTCCATCCCTACACTTCACCTACCCCTCCCTACCAACCCTTCACCTACCCCTCCCTCCCTCCATCCCTACCAACCCTTCACCTACCCCTCCCTCCCTACCAACCCTTCATCTACCCCTCCCTCCCTCCCAACCCTTCATCTACCCCTCCCTCCCTCCCTCCCTCACAACCGTTCATCTACCCCTCCCTCCTTCCCAACCAATCATCTACCCCTCCCACCCTCCAACCCAACCCTTCATCTACCCCTCCCTCCCTCCTTCCCAACCAATGATCTACCCCTCCCACCCTCGCTCCCAACCAATCATCAACCCCTCCCACCCTCCCTCCCAACCAATCATCTACCCCTCCCAGCCTCCCTCCCAACCTTTCATCTACATCCCAACCCTTCATCTACCCCTCCCTCCCT